CATATTGTTCTTATACACAAAATACCAATAACCAAATTAGTGCCTTAATTTTTGGATCCCCTCTCACATCCTTCGCGAGAAGGGCTGCCACGAAAGTTCATTAATTTGTACCGGAAACATTGAAACTTAACGGCTTTTGGTGTAATGGTACCTAAATTGCTCAATTATGCTTAAGATGTGTGTACGTTTTCTATTCGCAATTTACCATTTATCAGTGCCTGTAATGGTACAGCTGATGGTTACACACATTCATTATAAAAACATGCAAACTTTTTTGTATTCTTGGTATAGACATAACGTGTAATTTCTGAAGGAGTAATGTGCACAAAACGCAGAATAATTGCAAATTATTTCACCGAAAATGAGTAATAATTTTGAAATTGCAGGAAACACTGTGCAATTAATGCAAGGTTTTTGACTAAATTTAATTTCGTAATATGGATTTTAAGATTTAAGAAAATTGTATGCAATTTCTGTCGCGAGTAAAGAATAATGTAATCCAATTCTTTTGTTAGGTTAAAAAACATTTTCGATTTTTGGTAATGTAAATAGGTAAATGTTCCAGGAAAAACATAGGTATATAATTGAAAACAAGATCGACGACCGTTCGACCTTAACAAAAATACGCCGCGATGCAATGCACTACACCGAATATAATTTGTGAATGAGGTAAGTGGGTGTAAATAAATTGGCAGAAAATACTTATTTTTAATCTTTAATGGTGATTAGTTGCAATTAAATGTTAGAAAGTATTTGGGCGTCACCTAAAGTGCCCTTGACCGTCGGCTTAACCTGCCTCACGGTCGTTCGATACCAACAGCAGTCGTCGTTATCGATCCCGACGCTAACGACGCCTCCCAACCACAATCGTATCTTTAGTAAGCAACTCTTTTACAATTAAAAAAAGTTTATACTGCTCACATAAATGTAAGTACTAACTAATGTAACGTAACGAACGTTCAACAGTACATTATGACTAACAATTTTAAATAAAGCAAATTTAAATAATGTAGAAAGCATTTGCATACCTTAATTAAATTATTAAAAAAAATAGCGACTGTGTTGACATTAAAAACTTATTAAAACAATAGACGCTTCTTATATGGTTGCATTAATTAGCAATTGGAACGTGTGGTAATACGTAAAAATGCGACACAAAGTTGCAAATTCTGGGATTCTCACTTACGAAATTTTATTTAACATGTTCGTTTTTTTTTAAATTTTTAACCAGTTTACAATTTGGCACGGAAATACGCTGTTTAAATACAGGAAATTGTAACTTTATCAATTATAAATGCTTTTATCTGTCACTTCTCCCAAAATTAATCGTTTATATAATTAAACTGATTTATGTTCCTTTGATGCGTGAGCAAAATGATCTATGTGAGGATAGAAGAAGGACGTCTTTCTTAAGGAAGCAATAAAGGATTACGGTCAGTTCGGAGTCTGCCAAACTCGTAATTAAACCGTGCAGAGGGTTTTCACATAGTGGCATAACGGGGTGTTTCGAACGAATTGGTACTTACTTCTATTGCCATTAGTTCCATGTATTTCAGATAAACTCTTCGTCAAGTCCACTATGTACGCATATATTCTTGGAAAACATATCATCCTCAGTAAACAGGTAATGAACTTCTACCACATTAGATGCAATTTTTTTTATTTCCCCATCTTCTCGCAGCCACGTTAAGTTTTGTTTCGAAAAGCTTCAATTCGGGGTTTGATTACTGGAAGAGAATGGACTGTGCTTCCCTGTTTGTATTTGATTAAATCAAGTAATTGTTGTAAGGGCTAATTAATTAGTTTGATGTTTACTTTTAACTGTTAAGGAAGTCACAAAGGGTAAGTTTTTGTAGGTATGCCGCAAGGGGTTTGGAAATAAAAACGTTACGTTTCAGTCGTACAGATTTTGACTCCGAGAAGATTAATGGATCACGCGGAAAATCTTTTTGCATACGGTGTTACGCTACAGCTTAGACTAAAAATGTACCAATAAATAATAATAGTCTTAGTTTCATACAATAAAGATATGACATTCACATAAGTAGTGAAAAAATTTGCACCCAAAATGTTTCTTGTACGTCTCTGTATATTAAAATTATAATGAAACATGAAAATTAAATCTTGAAAAAAAGGTTGTAGGGTGTGTTTTTCCTATTTAAATTTAATTAGGATTTTTTGCAATCCATAGTACGATCCAGATAGAGTTCTCATGTTCAGATTTTTTTTATTTGTGCCCAAGATTTATCTCAGGTGTTAACATTTGTGTAATTGATTTCTTTGAAATATTCAGAAGTTGGTTGACGCTACTGAGTTTCCTAATTTATTGATTTCGAGTCATGATTTGGATTTTGCTTTGGGGCGAATGCCGGAGGTGAACGAGGAGAGATCATAAAAATTAGCTTCAATTTTTTTATTTATTCAAGCTAGCTGGTCAGGTGATTTGTGGATGGTGTAGTTGACCGTAAACAATTTTGCACACAGCAATACATAAGCTTGATTTTTTTAAATAATTTTCAAAAAAGATTCAATTTCTAGCGCCGCTTTAAATAATAGGTAGGAACTTTAATGAAAAATAATGAGTAGCCAAAAAACTACGGGGTTTAGACACAGGACGTCCCTTATAAAAATTTAAGAGAACACAAAAGACTATAGAATAACAAAATAATATAGTGGTAGTTCCATTTGAAAAAAAAAATAGTTACCTACTTATGGCATTTTCAATTTAGAAAAATTTACCATTTCATTGTGAACACTCTGTATCACTAAATCCAACTTTCTCATTATCAAAATGTTGCCCTTCACTACGAACGTTATTTATTTCGTAACTTCAAAAGACAAGGTCGCTACAATTCATAAAAGTTTCTGAAACTTTTTTGTGGGGAAATTCGGGAAAAGATTAATAGGATGCCAACATTGACAAAAAAACTAAAAGTGAATAGGTTTCAATGTAGAGGTTATTTATTATTTATTTACATTGTAAAAATGGGACAGCCGGTACATTCAAAAATAATTTCTATATGCAAGGGTTTTTTTCACGTTAGTTTCCCAGATAATTATAGATTCAACGATCGTTGAACACCCTGTATAAAGGTAGAATTTGAATGTACCTACACAGTTTTCACATTATAATGATGGTGTCAACACTTGATTGGGTAATGCAACTGGTTTATTGCTTTATAATAGAGATGCCGAACGCAGAAAATTATGACGATTATTTTCTTTAACGCGTTTCAAGTTCGTCGTTCTTATTTGTATTTTTAAACGTAAAAATTTCGTAATTTTTGGCCTAAATAAACGGGTGCAACACTTTACATTGACGCATGTCTCCCATTTAACTCACGATAATAGTCAGAAGCTTACATACATCAATGAAATGGATTACCTATTTCCAACCTATAAGACCAATACAAATTACGAGTGCGTGCAGGGTGTTATGGCCTATTAACATGGGAAATATTTTGGAAAATTGCAGAACTAGAGTCATCAGCTCAATCCGAAGGAAGTTTTCGGGTAGTCTCGGCTAGTTTGATGGATTTTCATATGTCATATTGAAACACACTTAAATTTTAGGGACACTTTTCTGACCAACGGTATTTTCGCAAGACTATTAATTTATTCATGTAATGCATCAGTTCGAAATTACAACGAGCGCGTTTCGAGCGATCACAGAAACACCGAAATGCACTTATGATGTCAATCCTCCCGTTTAGATTTCTAATTTTAAAACTGTCATCGAATATGATTGTACGAGGTAAAATGATTATACATTTGCGACATTCTGGGCGAGATTGTTAATTCATGAACGGTAATTTCAGACAGGCGGCGCCTATACGCAACAAAAAACGGTCGCAGGTAATTAATCATCATGATGCAGTTTTCGTGGCTCTAATTTTCCGGGAAATTTCCCAATACGTATACCACCGTTTACAGTCATAAATTTCGTATTAAAACAACAATAGCACCATCGCCGCCAACAAAAAAAACCGGTCTTTGAAAAGTGGTTAATTACAATTCTTTAAATTAATTGATCGAAATTTGTATAGTTTAATTTGCGCACAAAGGAAGTCTTTTTATTAGGTATACGAAACAACGCAACTATAAATCATAATTTTAACTTGTCTGACGTTTTTATGATGGATCATCAGCTAAACTTTTCATGTCTCGGTTCTTATATTTAGGCTGGAAACTAAAATTCATGCTATTTACATCGAAATATTAAGCCATTAATATTAATAAATTCGAGGCGGGATTTCTTAAAATAATTTATAATATACGATTTATATAAATAATAAAATGGAGTTCTTAGGGAAATATGCACTTTCTTTGCTGTACGTGATATGAATGGATACTTGATTAAAGTGAAGTCGAGAGATCTTATATTTTAGTAATTCAATGGAATAGTGAGAACTACTAGGACAGAATTTGGGCGATGAGACTCACCTGAAAATATTGCTCCAATTAATAAACGTACACAGCACTTAGCATGGAACAAAATGTAGCCAAAAAAACCAAGGTAGAATTAGGAAAAATTTTAATTTCATAAATGTAATAGAATTTTAAGTGGTAATGGATGATACTGGAGCGGTAAAATAGCAATTAAAGTATCAAATGGTTTTTAACAGGCTTTGCATATTGATTCAAATATTAATAATGATAGGTGCACGTGCTTCCATCCGCAGCTCTGTGTAATTTTCATGAATATACTCTCAATTAAAACGATGCTCTATGCAAATAGGTTAATTCAGTGTTGTTACTACGTTTGTAGAAATTCTAAATTATTAAATATAATCATTGTCAATTATCCCAACATTAAATGTATGCACACGCTCACCAAATTACCCATACAAGTGCAGAGCAATTTTTAAGGATTAAAAATATCGATGTTTTTTTACTTTGGCATTCAATAACAAACAATTTAAGGAGGTCCATTAGTAAAAGATGATTACAGTCCTTTCAAATACCTGTAAAAGCGCTACGGGTCACAGGTAATTAGAGAACGTGTTTGAAAAGAAGATATATAAGGAAGCTATCAACATTATTCCTATAGTCACCGATTCCGCCATGATCGGAGTTATAAAGGTACGTTTTTTTGTAGCACTTGATTTAGGTTCATAGTTTAACTTATTTTAGATTGGCTTAATATGCTTTATAGCAGTGGTTGCTTCGGTCAAATCCGAAGCCCCTGTTTTAAAACTCGACTTACCAGCGCTAAAACCAATTGCGTCAACATACGAATTTCGACTGGACACGCCAGTTGTGAAATCCGCACCTTATCCTGCCCCAGCTCCGGTATACAGTGCACCGAGAATCGAGCTACCCATAGCGAAATCTGCGCCATACCCTGCCCCAGCACCTGCATATGGCGTTCCAGCAATACCGAGAATAGAACTTCCTGCGCCAAAACCAATTGCAACTGCGTACGAATACCGGGTGGAGACTCCTGTGGTGAAATCTGCACCCTACCCAGCACCCGCACCTGTCTATGGAGTACCACGAGTGGAAGTCCCCGTCATTCCACGAATTGAACTTCCTGCACCTAAACCAATTGCAACTGCGTACGAATACCGGGTGGAGACTCCGGTGGTGAAATCTGCACCCTACCCAGCACCCGCACCTGTCTATGGAGTACCACGAGTGGAAGTCCCCGTCATTCCACGAATTGAACTGCCTGCACCCAAACCAATTGCAACTGCGTACGAATACCGGGTGGAGACTCCGGTGGTGAAATCTGCACCCTACCCAGCACCCGCACCTGTCTATGGAGTACCACGAGTGGAAGTCCCCGTCATTCCACGAATTGAACTTCCTGCACCCAAACCAATTGCAACTGCGTACGAATACAGAGTGGAAACTCCGGTGGTGAAATCAGCACCATACCCAGCACCTGCACCTGTGTATGGAGTACCACGAGTTGAACTTCCTGCTCCAAAACCAATTGCAACTGTGTACGAGTACCGCGTCGAGACTCCAGTAGTGAAAACAGCACCGTACCCAGCACCTGCACCGGTATACGGTGTACCCCGCATTGAGCTACCAGCACCCATCGCCAAGATAGAAACACCAATAGTGAAATCCGCACCATACCCCGCTCCAGCGCCCGTATACGGCGCTCCAGTGATACCCAGAATTGAATTGCCTGCACCAAAACCAATTGCAACTGCGTACGAATACAGGGTGGAAACTCCAACGGTGAAATCTGCACCATATCCGGCACCTGCACCTGTCTATGGAGCGCCCGTCATTCCACGAATTGAACTTCCTGCACCTAAACCAATTGCAACTGCGTACGAATACCGGGTGGAGACTCCAGTAGTGAAATCCGCACCTTACCCAGCACCTGCACCCGTGTATGGAGCACCACGCGTTGAAATACCCGCGATTCCGCGAATTGAACTTCCAGCTCCAAAACCAATCGCCACAGCCTATGAATACAAAGTCGAAACGCCCCTTCTCAAATCTCTCCCTCTTCCAGCACCCGTATATGGCGTACCGAGGATAGAACAACCGGCTCCGGTTTACGGTATACCAAGAATCGAGTTACCTGCCCCAAAACCCATCGCCACAACATACGAGTTCAAAGTTGAGACGCCTTTACCAAAAGTCGAAGTGGTCAGATCCGGACCGTATCCGGCGCCGGCCGCTGTCTACGGACCACCAGCTGCCAGAGTCGATATACCAATAGAAAAAACAGTATTGCCAACGTTACCATCCGCGTCACTACTTTTAGCTAAATTAGACTTGCCCGCTCCCTTGCCTTTACATTAAATGCGAAAATAAGGCTACGTTGTATCCATTTGGGTATAGTAGATACATTATATTGTGCATATGACCGTTATATATTATTTATAACCGCTAAATTATAATTATATAAACAAATAAAATAATAATTTATCTATATCTGTAAAAAACGAATATAGTTTTATTTCTTCTACCTAACATTTTCAAATCTCGCTTACTTCGTTGTCCTGTTAGTACGTTTTTAAATGAGATGGTAGGAAGTCGATAAAAAAAAACGCAATTACACTCCGATTTTTAAAGTACGCTAAAAGATACGTCACTTCGATACACTGTGAAATGAAAACTTTCCTAGCACTAAGTCAATCCTGTAATAGATGTATAACCAGACCGACGGACAGAAGTATTTATTAACTTTATGTCCTATAAGCTTGGATCTGCAAATGGTTTGCTAATGAGACATTCTAGTAGTCAAATATTACACACTCAATTATAAGCAACTCCTCGTTAATTTTAAATTAAAAGAGAGTCGTGAGGCATTTTATTTAAAAAGGATTTTTTAAATTTTATGTTATCATAACTGAGAAAATTAATTTTGAAAATCTAAACTTTTGATAATGTCTCCATCACAGAACTTACTTACGAGTATATCTAATGAAGCAATTTATTAGTATATTTTCATTTTGCACATTTAATTTAATTATACAGTAAATTGAATAATAAACTACTCGTAATTTATTAATTTTTAATTTCTACGTAGTGTTGTGATGAACACGTTATCACAAATTTTACATCTTCAAAATTAATTTTCTCACACCAAATTAAAAAAAAAACTAAACATTGCTTTCAAACAAGGTGCCATACGTCTCCCCTGTTAATTAAAGTAATATTTTCATAGGATACATTAAAAATTGTCAAATTAAGATAAAAAACGATCTTTTTCATCTTTTCCCACATGGTACAAAACGCTAGAAACGAAATTACACAAACAGCATTTTATGATTCGCCATTTACGTTTGCAGTAGCCACTCTTCCTCCCAGTGTCATTACGTAAAACAACAAAATTTGACCACCTGGTACACCCTCCAGGTATAGGCTATCTACTTCAAAAATTACGATAGGACGATTCCCCTAAAAGTAGTTCAAAAGCGCAGAAGTTGGTCCGGACGGACGGACAAAACGCAAACAATAGCACATTCTTTTGTAACTCTTAAAAAAATGCACCATTACTAGCGTTTTGTTTGTTCGTCCATGTGATGAACCAATTCTCAGTACTAGAAAGTGTTGGCATCTCGATGGCCAATTAATGCAGCAAGAAAGATTATTTCGCCTAGATATAATTTCCATCGATGGCTATTTTTGCATAGCCGATAGTTGATGGCGAATATTTTAAACACTTATTGCGTAGAAAACCATTTTATTTTTACGTTCATTTATTTTATTTTGATGTAGGATATCTAGATTCATGTTATTGTTATATAAAAAAATTGTTTTTCATTACTCATTTGTTTTCTATTAAAAAAAACAGTTTTTGACAGTCTCACATCCTTTATGCCTAATCTACATTTGCAAAATTTTATCGAAATCAAAATAACCGTTTGGAGAAAAAATATATATATGTATTAGTTTTTTAGCTTTGAGATTTTTTTCTCTATAATAGAACTGGCGCAATTTTTGTAGGTTATAGGTCTTTCGAATGATTTCATAAACCCATAAAGAGCATTTACAAAAGCGGCAGAGTACCTCGGTGTGACCCCATGGAGTCATTGGATTTGACCCATTTGAAATTGGCTTGTTACATGTGGTATGCAGGGTGGTGCCTAGCGCAACGCAGCATAGGGATTTCAATCATAATTTCTTTATAGTCAATTACTAGCTCCCCAAATTATTTTAGAGCAAAAGTCTAAATACGTTTGTTTAGAGAAAAAAATACTGCATCTGTTCATACCGGCTTATAGCTCAGTGGTAGAGCGTTGGGCTATAAATCCGGAGGTCGGGTGTTCGAACCTGGTTTGAGGTGAATTTTTCATCTGTGGCAGGGATGGGAATTTCCTTAGATCAGTTTCGAGCATTCTGCCGGCTACTCCGAATTAGGTTTTCCTGCAGTTTTCCTAATTCGTAAGGTGAATACCGGAGTAGTATAGAACAACTTAAGACCTTCTGCAGGGGCACCTCTAAAAAGGATTATGCGGGTCACTCTGTAATTGGGCGTAAGCCTGTTGAGGGCCTAGAATAAGAGGGACAATAAACAAATAAGTTAAATTAGTTATAATTTTCCATTTTTCAAAACTGTAGAAATCGACAAGAGAATGTATGCTGCATCTGCATCAGATACTATTTGTTTATTATTTTCCCGAACCAGAGTACCTACATAATCGAAGAAAAAAAATTGATTTGAAGAAGATTTGTTCTTAAACTTATATTCGGATTTTCCGCTACTGCAGCAAAAACGTTGAATGTATTGTTGTTTTCCTGGGTTTTGGCGGACATTTTGAACGTTATCGCACTTGCAGTTCTTTAACTAATTTATAAACAAGTATAAATTTAATATACGTCAAAGGCAAATAATGAAACGTGATCGTTGTATTTTAAGGTAATTCCAAGGCATATTTGATTTATTGTAAAATGAACCTTTTTATTTTATCGATTTCTACGGTTTTGAAAAACGGAAAATTGTGAGTAAGAGTATGAACAGATGCAGTATTTTTTTCTCTGAAAAAAACGTATTTAGAATTTTGCTCTAAAATAATTTGGGGAGCTAGTAACTACAAAGAAATTACCATTGAAATCCCTATGCTGCGTCGCGCTAGGCACCACCCGGTATATGTTAGGTAACTGTGCAAAGTTTGAACCGAATAGGTTCAAGCCTCGGTTCAAGCGTTTGCCAGAGCTAGAGAGGGGTCATTGGATTTGACCCATTTTTAATAGACTTGTTGCATGTGGCATATAAGTCTACTGTACATAGTTTCAACAGAATAGGTTCAAGCGAGGGTTCAAGCGGGTGGCAGGGACAGAGAAGTGTGACCCCACGAGGTCATTGGATTTGACCCATTTTCAATAGGCTTATTACAATTGCCATATAGCTCAACTGTGCAAAGTTTGAACCAAATCGGTCCAAGCGTTTGACAGTTATCGTGTTCACGGACAGACGGACACCATCGACTCCCCTATAATGCTTGCATCGCTTTGCTCTGCCGCTTAATAAAAATCATCCCATTCCCAACAAGTGTGAAACTACATCTACAAGAATTATCTATTCAAACCCCCGCCATTAACGACTCATTTGTAGTTCTTGCTCGTATTTTGTTTAAATTATCAAAATAACAAAAAACACATTCAGAAAGGATCTTGAACACATTCCAACAAATCTAGAAGATGACGTTTTCGTCATCGCCTCTCACCTAATGACGGCAGTTAAAAAACGTGCGGCACTCAAAGAGAAATTAATGCTTAATTACCTCATCAGCATTATAAGTTTAAAGGTACCTATTCACACACGTAGTTTACACAATATAGTAATTAATCTTAAATCAAACGTATAATTAACATATAATTAGTAGAACATTTATAACAAAGAAAAGTGATATTTAAACTAACCTCTCCCCCAAAATTATTTTTAACGTTTCAAAACTGGAAAAGTAGCACATTTACAAGAACAAGAATAGAAGCCGTGACGTTTTGAAGTAAATGAACGGAAAGTTTATTTAATTTAAATTTTTAAACAAACCGCTCTTGTTGCTATTGTATATAACGAGTCAGGATCGTACCTAATTCTTGCCAAATGGGCAAAGGCGAAAACATGTAAAATAATTTTAATTAAACAATGTGAAAACGCAAGATAATGGAAATTATGATCTTATATAGAATATTTATTTTCGTAAAACGTCTATTGCGATATCCAACACGATCAATGACGTTAACACGAATAATGCGTGTACGTAGAAGTTCCTATTGGTTATTTTGGGGTACAGTAAATGGAAATCAATAAAGGCTTCACGAAATTCAAAATGCGTATATACTACAATTACCCTCAACTACTGTCGCTGCTAATTTATAATACAAATGATCCGCACAATAGGGAAGGAACATCAATTCAAAACTATTATTATTTTCATTCTTGCAATGTATAGCGCAACGTGTCAAACATTGGTTTATAATACCACCAAATCTTTGTCGGATGGTAACCGCCATTACTGATAAACAATTTGGTGACTCATTTGGACACCCCAACAAATTAGAAAACAATTGATTTCCAGGACTTTGAGAATATTTTCATTAGTCATTTCAGCAAGATCTCTAACTATTTTTTTTCAAATGGAACTACCACTATTTTATTTCATTATTCGATAGTTTTTTGTGTGTTTTTCAATTTTTATAATGAGTGTTCTGGGCGCCGTACTTTTTAGGATATTCAATATTTTTGACAAAAATTTTCGTAGTTACACATTAATTAATTACATGTTATAAATCGGTGTAGACCGTGATAATAAAAAACAAAAGAATACCAGACAGTAAACAAGTGTCACAAATATATTATCTGCTGCAAGTGTACGTACTCCCTATTTCGTAGTAAAATAAGATTAATTAAAAAGGCGAATTTCGAAAAAGATGAGTCTTTTTAAATCTTATTTTACTACAAAATAAGGAGTACACTTGCAGCAAATCATAAATTTATGGCACTTGTTTACTGTCTGGCAATCTTTTGTTCTTTTTATCACGGCCTACTCTTGTTTATAAACATGTAATTAATTAATGTGTAACTATTTTTGTAAAAAATATTAAATAGCCTAAAAACTACGGGTTTAGTCACAGGACACTTCCTTATAAAAATTGACGAGCACACAAAAGACTATGGTATAATAGAGAATTAAACTAGTGGTAGTTTCATTAAAAAAATGCAGAGGTTAAAAAATGACAACGAAATAACTCAAAACATACTGGGTGTTCCGTTACAAAAATCAGTTGCCTACTGGCACAGTAAAAATTGGACACCCTGTCCATTCAAAAATAATTTATGTAGATGCGCAACCATTTGCACAAAAGGTTTTTTGATATTTCTTACCAGGTATGAATTAGGTTAGACATACGCACTGTTGCAGGACCCTGTATATTT